AATGATATAAATTTAAGGTTATTTTTGTTAGAACATTATATATATATATATATATATATATATATATATATATGTTTCTGCTCTTGTTTAAGGTATTGTACCTATGCAACTCATTTTAAAATGTAAAATTCTAATCCTTAAAGGCTATTATTAAAAACTGTTTAGGATAATTAAAAAATGTAGGTTAGTAATCAGTCATCTATAACAATCAAACTTTGTAGTCATGTAGGTATGTTTTCAAGAAATATATTTTAAATAGAGAGATGGTCTTCAAACACTTCAGAGATCTACAGAATATGATATTTAAGATGTTTTAATAACATAAAGCTTTTCATGACAGTGAGACGTGTCTGCTCCTGGCAGCACCAATCTACTTCAAAGAAGATGATGGGCATCAAAGAACCTCCATATGGAGTTTGCTTTTACTGTGACAAAGTTAGCCAATGGGCAAAGAAACTTCCCTTGCCTCGACTGCTGACAGTATACTATCCAAACCGGAAAAGCAGGACACAAAAGGTGACAAACTTTGGCAAGACAAGGTAGGACAGTCCTTCAAAATTCTCTGCTTCACAGGAAAGTCTGTCAGATATTCTAGGCCTGTAGGCTAAAGACGGATGCCCAACATTGCAGAGAAACCTTGGGTGACTGTAGAGGCAGCCAACTGTCTCTGTTGTTTCTCTAGTTTTGGAAGTTGCTTTCTCTAAACTTCTTGTTTATTCTAATAATATTTTATCCTTCTTGGGTCTCTGATGAGGGCTGAAGACTAGATAGTTATACTGTTTTCTTTTACCAAAGTTAAAAAAAAAACTCACAAAAGAGATGTAAACTTTATAAAGGTTGAGATATAAAAGCTTAAATTGTTTACCTAAGAAAATCTTTTAAGGTCTAAAAAGGTATTTTTTTGGTTGGTAATATTAAGTTATGATAAAATATTTATTTAGACAAAAAGGGGGAAATGTTGTGGAGAATCTTTATGTACACTATGAAGACGGGTCTTTGCCAAGGCTCCTCTTCTAATTGGTTTAATGAAGAGCCCAATGGGCAATAGCTAGGCAGGAGAGGATAGGTGGGATTTCCAGGGAGAGAGAGGAGATGAATCTAGGCGCACAGAGACACCAGCGAGACACAGATCAAGTTGGACATACAGAATGGAAGAGAGGTAAAAGCCAGGTGGCAGAACATAGATTCATAGAAGCAGGTTAATCTGAGTTATAAGAGACAGTTGGGGAAAAGCCTAAGCTAAAGCCAAGCTTTCAAAACGAGTAACAAGTCTCCTGCGTGTCATTATTTGTGGGCTGGCAGTCCAGGAAGTCTGATGAGAAAGATTGCTACACAGGAAGACCCTATTTCAAAAAACCAACCAAACAACAGAGCGGTGAGCTTGGTCTCGTGTCTTGGGAGGAGTGGTTGAACCATTAAAGAGGTTTGGGGTCTTTGGGGACATGTCCTCAAGAGGACTCTGGAACATTGACCTCTTTTTTCCATACATGTATTATTTTATTATTGTTTTTTTTTTTTTTTTTTTTTAAAGACAGGTTTTCTCTGTGTTGCCCTGGCTGTCCTGGATCTCACTCTGTAGACCAGGCTGGCCTCGAACTCACAGAGATCTGCCTGCCTCTGCATCACCAGTGCTAGAATTAAAGGCGTGTGCCACCAATGCCTGGCTGCATGTATTATTTGTATGTGAATGCAGGTGTACCGAAGCATGCATGTGAAGGTCAGAGGAAACTTGTAGAAATCAGCTGTCTCTTCCACCAGGTGGAGGTCCTAGGGATTAAACTCAGGCCCTAAGACTCAGTAGCAGGTGTCCTTACCCACTGAGCCATCTAGAAGGTCTCACCAGCCCTCTTCCTTACCAATAATGAGGTGAGCAGCTCTGACACACCACAGGCCCAAAGCAATGGAGTCAACCAACCATCATGGGATGCATCCTCTAAAACCAAGCTGAAGTAAACCTTTGTTATGTAAGTCGGTGACTTCTGGTATTTGTTACAGTAACAGTAAGTGACAGCACACTCATCCTCTGCTAGAATTCTGATGGAAACATCGTATCTCCTGCACATCCACATCCAGTCACCTACCACACCCCCATCCCCACTGCCTCTCGACTCCACCAGCTTCCTCAAGGGTCCCTACCTGTAACTCCCCCTCTTCCATGGTTAGTTTTCTACATGGCTGTCATTTGCTGTCATTTTGTTGGGTAAGCCACTGCGCAGATATGTACTGCCCCAATCTCTTGAGTGCTGGGGCTATAGGCATGCGGGGTATGGAGGCATACCCCTGTAAACCCCAGACTAGGGAGGCTAAGGCAGTTAAGAGCACGCGTTCTAAGGCTGGGCGCCTCTAACCCCAGCACTTGGGAGGCAGAGGCAAGAGTTTGTGGTCAGCCTGGTCTACAGAGTGTGTTCTAGGACAGCCAGAACCACACAGCAAAAAACCTGTCTCAAAAAACCAGAGTGCAAGTTCTGGGCCAGTTTGGGCTACACAGAATCCCTGTCTCAAAAGCAAAACGAAACGCAGAGTGGACTACTGCCATCTTTTTTCTCTCCGCTGCCCTAGGGAAGTTGGTTCTCTTCAGCCTGCACAGCCTCTACCCCAACCTCTGGCAGTCTCACCGGCAATACAAAACTATACACACACACACACACACTTCAACATTAAAACACTGCCTGGCTAACTCTTCTTCAAATCTTAGGCTGGGTGTCACCTCCTCCAAGAAACCTTCCATGATTTTCAAGGCTCTGACAACTCCTTCAACAGGACACATCACCTTACATGGAGAGTGCCAATTGGGAGTTCCCATCTATTCTACTGACTCCAACACCCACCCAGTGGACATGTGACGATGGGAAAGAGAGACAGGTGCTGGTGGAAAGAAAGGAAAAGGCCTGTTGGGGGAGCATGGGGCAGAAGCCACCAGACAGGGTCCATGAACAGACATCAGGGTGAAGGGGCCAGTGTGTGGGAGGGTCAGCAGAGGAGGGTGTGCAGAGGAGGGTCAGCAGAGGAGGGTGTGCAGAGGAGGGT